GATGAATGGATGGATGAATGGATGGATGAATGGATGGATGAATGGATGGATGAATGGAAGATTGAATGGATGGATGGACTGGAACCCATGCATCCCTCTTTACATGCATACATACAGACGACTCCAATGACTCGACTGTCGAGACAACAACGTCCAGGCGGAGACGAATAATAGCCAGACGGGCCGATAGCTGGGCTGGCAGTTGAAAATCATGGTGACGAGTGAGTCGGAGGGACAGGCAGTGGGCAATGATAGGCGCCGGTTTCGAAGGCTCCAGACCGACCGAGCCCGGATGCTGTAGCCAATCAGACGCCTCGAGAGCTACCGGTTGGACAGACCAGCTCCACCAGACGCAGCAATCGGCCCGGCCAGTCTGTTCTTCACGTGGCAACGCGAGTGTATCTGCTTCTAGGTCTTTCAGCCATGTCTGCCTGCGCCCGACGTCCTAAAGCGTCAGATCTGCTTGTCTACATGCGTGTCTATCTGTGAGCTGAGTGTGTACCCGTGGTCGCTACGTGTGCTCACATGGTCGTCATACCCGACTTTGCCCCCTCCTCCTCTACTCTCATTCACTCTTTCTGGTGCAGCCCTCCTCTCGCTTCTCTCCCTCTCCTTCTGTATGTAGGTCTCTGTTTATGCAGATAGTTTGTGCATTTGCCGTTGTTGTTTGTGTTGTTGTTGTTTCTGCTGCTGCTGCTTTTGCTGTTGCTGTTGCTGCTGCTAGTGTTGTTGCTACGACTTGTCTGCCGAGGGGATGGCGTATGCCATGGTCGGGCTGAATGGCTGAGTGGCTGAGTGGCTGAGTGGCTGTCGGCTGCAACTGCAGGCCGGCATTCATTTTCCAAATTCGCTGTGAACACGCCGAAAGTGAGGAGGACTCTGCGACTTGTGGACACCAGCTCCCTGTTGACAACAGCCTCGGCCGGTCTGCTGTGCTGTTGACGGTTCTCGGACTGGGTCGAGGCCGATCGGTGCCGCTGCCTTCCCGGCGTCCGCAGCCACCAGAGCCGTCGGAGCCGGCAGTCGCATGTGCCAGAATGTGAGGCGTTTAGAGGCTGATGCAACCAGTCAGTGACCCGCGGGACTGAGGAAGCAGCAGGTCAGGTGAGTCGTGTAGTCTGCTTTCGTCATTTCGCCTCATGCGAGACCCAAACCCTCGCCCCTAAAAGACCCCGGACACAGGCAACTTTTGGCGTCGGAGCGACCAAGAATGTCTGGGTTTTCATCAATCTCCTGACATACCAGTCGTTGTTGGGGGGAAATGAAGAAAAAGTGGCTTTCGAAGAATGCCTCTGTGATGTATTGTGACATGATTGTCCATCTCGAAGGAAAAGTTGCTTGGAACGAAGTCGTGATGCGGTCTCCTCGGAAACCGAAAGAGGAGTACCACGTGGGTAAAACGGTTTTATTGTGAGAGATGGATGAAAGCAAGACGGTGAGCTGAATACGTCTTCGCGTGATGCAACAGCGCGACGATTCCTCTTCGGTTTCCAGTGAGACCGCATCACCAATTCCTGCCAGCCACCTTTTCATTTGGAATAGAAAGTCCTGCCACAATTGTTTTAGAATACTTTCATCGCTTGCTTTATCTACGATCGTACACTAAAATCTGCTACAGATGAGCGATGGCCTACCATAAAATTTACGTCTGTCCACTGAGTTAAGGGCACTCGTGGCAACGTGGCGTGATGTTGACATGTTGAGACCCTATTCTGTACCACGACAGGCAGAGCTCGAGTTCCGT